AAAAAAAAAAAAATGCACTCAAAAGTAGTCTGATTCTCTTTTTGTGCCAGGGTTACAGAAGGCTTTTACTCTTTTTTCAGATCCATTTCTTGTAATTAGCAGATTTTTTTTTAATAATATAGTTTGTTTTTACAACATTTTGAGCATTTTTCCATCTCAGTGTAATTGGCAGATTTTTATATAATGACCGCTAACAATTTCTATGATTGGACAAGAAAATCTATTTCCACCTTAAATAAAAGTTTAAGAACACTCCAAGCTTCTGGTTCACTGTGTAACTCCAACATTACCACCAGCCAGGTTAGACACCATTCCTCAGCTCTGGGGCCCTCCATGTGGCCTGCTAGGCCTGGGAGCTAACATTGTTAACATCTGTGTTTCCCACCCATCCTTTAAAATATTCTGTGATAGGTAATTGCTGATGTACACATTTGTCTCTCCAGTGCTCTGAAGCTCTTCCTCCTGTTTATTACTGAATACACAGACCTACACAGCAAGCTCTACAGCCCCACACACAGTCCTCAAATAAAATAGCTACTAAAAAAATATCTGGGCCCTCCCTGGTGGCGCAGCGGGTTAAAGCGCAGCACTGAGAATCTGAAGCCACTTCCGCATGAGTTCGATTCCCGCCTGCCGCCTGCCCGGGAGGAGACCACATGGCGAGCCAGACCTCTCCTGGCCCGCCCGCTGCTCCCCTCAGCAGTGTACTTCGTCAATCTGCCTGTTCTGCTCCCCACTCTGTCTCTGGTGAAGCCTCTCGCCGCCCCTGAGCCTCTGGCCTGTACCCCAGTTCTGTATGAATAAATAAATAAATCTTTTAAAAAAAAAATATCTGTTTCAAAAATACAGATTTATCAAGGGTATATTTTCGTAAGACTGCATAGGTAACTGGGAATAGGAGATGACATTGTTAGGATGCCACAAACTTACTACTATAATTTAAGTTCTGTTTAAATTAATATTAGAAAAGCTAGCTTCCTCTGGGTATCGGCCTTTAAAAAAGGGCAACTTAATATAAATAAAAAGTAGCATTTTAAAAACAGTAGTTCTGTTGTATCATTTCTGTTTGCCTAAAATTTTATATCTTTATAAAGTAGATTATGGGAAGTAATATTATAATAATGAAATATATTTTCTAAATATAAAGCTTGTATCCATGAGTGAAGTCATGTAACAATAGGAAAATACACTTACAGGCAATTTCACAGGTGGCCTCAAAGATATGCCATCACACACACCTTCTCTCTCTCTCTTGCAGTCAAGTTAGATAACATTCTTCAATCCCCCAGTTTCGAGGTTAATGATGCCTACCTGATTTACAAGTTCAGGGATGCCCAGAGCTCTATCAATTTCTTCAAGGCCTGTGGCATCTGTGTTGCTCAAGAGTGTGTGCAGCTGGTCCAGCAATGCCCTTTCATCACTCTGACCTTCTAGATTAGAAGGTTGCCCAAGGAGATCATCCAGGGTATTCCTAAGAAGAGGTCTAAAGAGAAACTTGCTATCAACTTCAATGGTGCTTTTACTCTCCCCCACAAAAGGCATCACACTAACACAACACAATAATTTTGATATACTCAAATACTATAAGCATAAATAATGCAACAACAAAACAGAGAAACAGCATCAATTTAACCTTTAGGCCCACAATTTTAAACCAGGCCATCTTTATCCACCATGTCTAGCTTATTCTACCCCTCAATCCTACCACCATAATGTACTGATAATTGCCAGACCTCTAGGCACTGGGGGATGTCAGAGTTTGCAAAGATGGGGACTGGAAGCAAGTAGACAATGTGCACTTTTTAGATCTACAGGAATAAGTAGTAACAGTTATGATACCTGAAATATGGGAAAAATCAACGAAGAACTGAATAAAGGATAGAAATACTGGATTATCAATGACCTCAGCCTGGGGGCCTACCAAAATTAATTTTTGTTAAACTTTGCTTACAGAGCTTATGTATCAAGTATAATACAAACTCCACACCCACAGAAAGGAACTACAGTTCCTCAACAGATCCAACAACATGAAGCTAGACATTATCCTTCCTCAAGAGTCTCTGAAATTGAAACTCTTCTCTACTCACGGAGAAGCACTCAGATTTGTAAACTCATGTAGTTAATAAACTCATTTTGCTGCCTACTCATAGATCAATTCACTTTGCTTTGCTTAGTTTATGATGGAATTCAAGTTAGAATTGATGACTCTTTCATGAAAATGAGTTGCTGTCCAAATCAAGTCTAAATGAAAGGCACACGTAAACCATAATTTTTCTTTTGCAAAAATAAGAGTACTATTGTCCACTCTCACCATCATCTAAAATATTTTAATTTTAGAAAAGAAATCCCCATAGTAAAAAATTAATTTTGAAGAAAATTTGAAGCCTAACCCTCAGAACATCATTTATTTTGTCAAACTACTGCTAATGTATTATTGCATTATGAAACTATGACATTATGAGAGAATCATCTCTAATAGAAGCTTTCAGATTTGTTCACTCAATGGTTCAACAAACAGTTGAAGATCGTTGTCTCTCCTACCTCCACAATGAACATCACTGCTCGCTGTTTCAGACTCATTTTGACACACATCCGAGAAAAACCCAGAATGTCATCGAATATACTTAGTTTCTCTCACTCTCTTTTGGACTTTTTGTACCTATGCTCTAGATTATCTATTTTCTAGATAGACCAAAATTAACATTTTCTACAAAAGCACATGATAAAGTCCCACCTGTTTTGAGTCCCATGAGGGCCTTGTTCCATGGACATCATGCCATCTGGCCAAGAACCAGTTTGGTTAGATGGTGCTGCTTGGCCATAAGGACTAACCCCCATCCCCATGGGAATCTCACCAGGCCCTGAAGGGAAAAAAGAATAAAGGATCATTTTTCAAATAAGCCAACAGCAAAAATCACCCTCAAACACCTAGTTTTCTTCCATGAAGGGGATGCTTACGCATTTGAAGCATCTGCTGCTGCTGCTGCTGCTGCTGCTGCTGCTGCTGTTGCTGCTGCTGTTGTTGTTGTTGCTGTTGCTGCTGCTGCAACATTGGTCTTGCACCTGGGATGCTACTGGACCGAAGAGGCATGGTAGGCACTGAGCCACCCATGGTCGGTCTGGATAAAGCAGCATTATATTCTGCTCCTGGCCTTCCCATGGAATTTGAACTCATAGGATCCAATCTCCCAGCCTTTGAGTTTGGTAAGCCCCAGTCTCCTGAGGAAGGAGTCTGACTCACAGTCACATTTCTGTTTGGTCCACCTAAAACAGGTAGAAATGATTAAGTCTTTCCTATACTACAATGAAAACTCTCTTAAGTAGTTATTGTACTGACAAAAAAAAAGTATATTGCCATCGTAAGAATCAAGCTGACCAACTATGAAGACATTTTTGATTGGCCACAAATGCCAAATATTGTTAACAGATTAGAAAATGTCTTAGACCAAAAGCTTCCTGAAGAGTTTCGATAACAAGGACACAGAATAAATGACTACCCATGAAAGAAACATTATGCTACTCGAAAGCCTACAACTTACTCCTGTTTAAATGACTCTAAATGTTTTATATTTGCTTTACCCAAGAAAGTTTAAACCACAAATGCAAGAAAACATACCCATATTTGAGCTGTAATTTTCCTGACTATCCATCATTCTTGCATTCCCACCCAACACGGGTTGCTTGGGTAACATAGGGAAAGCACTGATACTCTTTATTGGAGGACTCGAGCCAACAGAAACAGGGCTATCTAGAGATGCCGCCCGGTTATAGGGAGGACGAATGGGCTGCACAGACTGTGGGCTCCTCAGACCTGCTGAAACAGACACACAAGAATATCCTGATGATTCAACACATAAATAATCAAGCCAAAGTCATAAAAACCAGTACCACCCTCCCAAGTTATCTTTCTCACTAAGATAGTTTCTCCTTTTACAAAACAAGCTCTAAGTATGCCTGTGTTCAGGTGCACACACACCAAAGACTGCAAATTCCAAATAAAGTAGCAATAGGAATCTCACGGTTAGCTGAAGTATTGGGCACCATTCTACGGCCCAATGTGGCAGTGAAGTGACTACTGCTTCACTTACTACTGAAAAGGTTTACCAGTGTGTCAAACTCCAATATTCTTCCCTATATGTACATAAGTGGCTTCGTTGATTAAAATTGTACCAAATAGGTCCTTCCCTGGTGGCGCAACAGGTTAAAACAGAGCACTTGAAGCTATCTGTAGCCACTGCAGCAGAGTTCCATACCCAGCCAGGGAGGTGACCCACAGGGCGCGGCAGACCTCTCCTGTCTCCCCGCTGCTCCCCTCAGCAGTGTACTTCATCAATCTGCCTGTTCTGCTCCCCGCTCTGTCTCTGGTGAATCCTCTCACCCTCCGCACCTCTGACCTGTACCCCTGTTCTTGTATGTATAAATAAGTGAATCTTTAAAAAATAATTAAATACAACTGAACCAAATAAGTTGTTTTCTAATAAACACAGAGTGAAAGGTAAAATTTCCTCCTAACCTGTTTGGCTTTTTCCTATCTGTTAGACCCGACTATCCATTCCAACTAAGAAAATTTTCAGTATCACTGAAAAATGATTAACCACCATCCTGGAAAATTGTGAACTATCCTTTTCTATTAATACATATATCTCTGCCAAACTGATGAGCCACACAGTTACAGAAGAGAAACTTGGTCATACCAGCAAATACCAAGGAAGAAAAGTCTCACAGCTTGTCACAGGACAAGTTTTGTTCTATAGTTTGGATTGCTTTTTAATAGAATTTTCTGTGTCTAAGAAGAATATATGCAGTAGTCCTCCTACAAGAATTGGAAATGACCAAAATCAAAATTTTCTGCTAAGAGGCATGGTTACTGATAATATTCATTAGAATAGGGAATTTTAAAGAGAAAGCTTTTTACACACTACAAATGAGTGTACAAAATTGAGAACCAGAGTATGTGTTTTAAAGATACAAATGCTAGCTGGATCCCGACTTTAGTTCAAGAAGACATACAAGTGTGCAGAAAAACTTAAAAGGTCTTACAAATAAACCTAATTTGTTCTTACCCAGGGAATTTGTTCCATGAAACATTTGTTGCTTGGTTCCCAGATTACTACCATTTGTGGATATGGAATTATTGTAAAAGTCAGAACTAGTCAGATCACCAAGAATAGCATCTAGATTATCCAAGTCTCCAGTTCCCTGAAAATAAAGTTTCAAAAATTAATCTGCACATCAGATACAGAGGTGTACACAAGCCATGAGAGGAAACTTTATGAATCAGGAGCAAGCAAACCACAATGGTTATTTGAATGATAATGCCTAATTTAAAGCTGGCTTCTTATGATTCCTCCTCTCTCACTTCCCCATCCCTAATCATTTTCCTTGACGTTAAGAACAGTTTGAACTGCTACCATAAGTCACTCAGTTTGGAGGAGGGCACATTTTTTATTTTGCATTAGCATTTGTACATTTAATTCTCAAACTGTAGGATACTTTCCAGCTGACATTATTCAGGATCATTAGCTGACAGATGCCTAGATCTACAAGTAACTTCTGAAAACAAGTATGATCAATGATAAAAGCAACTCTCCAAGAAGACAGTTATATAGGTACACTTTAAAAAGGGTTTTTTGTTGGGCCTTCCCTGGTGACGCAGTGGGTTAAAGCACAGCATAAAGAAGCTTAAGTTTGTTCCACATGAGTTCGATCCCCGCCTGCCCTGGAGATGATCCACATGGCGAGGGAGACCTCTCCTGACCCGCCCGCTGCTCCCCTCAGCAGTGTACTTCGTCAATCTGCCTGTTCTGCACCCCACTCTGTCTCTGGTGAATCCTCTCACCCTCCGCACCTCTGGCCTGTACCCCAGTTCTGTACAAATAAATAAATAAATCTTTTTTTTTAAAAGGGTTTTTTGTTCAGTACATTTGGAGAACACTAGTTTCAACAGTCATTCTAATCAGAAGGTTTATCCAAGTCTTTAATTTGCTCAGGCACATATTACCAACTCCCAAAACAGAGGTCAAGAGGAAGCTGTGAAATGTCCATGTAGAATGCAAACATGTACATGAAACTTGGGTTTTAGTAACAATTCTCTTGTTTAATGCCAAAAGCTTCCTCCCACTTCTTTCTACCATACTCTTAAGTCCAAGCTGCTCATTCCAAAATAAACACCTCAATGAAAATGTTCAAGTTGGCTGCTTGGTAGCTGAAGTCCCATTATAAAACACAGGACTGCTATTTCTAAATTGCATCATAATACTTTACTAGTGCCCAAAAGTACAAATAGCAGGTTAATTTCCATTAAGTAAACCTAAAACAGAAGACAAAAACTTGTACAACACATTGTTTTCTAAAACAGAAACGTAATGATGAAACACAAAGACAAAGCTGGGATACATAGAAAAATTACCTCTTCATTTGCTTCTGTCTTGACTTTAGAGTCTTTCTCTTGATTGGAGCTGAGAATGGTAGAGCTGCTGCACTGACCCAGCTTACTGTCCAGGCCCTCCACTTTGGGCTGGAGTTCTTTAGAGAGGGCATCACTAGGATCATCCCTGTCCAGCAGGTATCTAAGCAGCGCATTGTTCTCCTTTTTCTTAGGACTCAGTTGCTCCTGCTTGACATTCCCATCCCCACAAGATGTCACACTACTGGTGTCTTTCCCAGTGGCTTCTGCAGTGATCTTTGCTACTTCAGCTGGAGAATTCCCATTCTGCAGTAACTTGTGCAAAATCCGGTGCTTCTCTTGCAGCAATGACCCATGCATATTGGGTGTAGAAGAGACTCCTCCGGAGGTTGAAGAAGAGACCCCTGAGGGGCTGGTGACACTGATGGAAGAGTCTTTACAAGTTGAATCCAAGGGGGAGTCAGTCAAGGAGGAATGACCTCGGTCATCAGAAGAACAAGTAAGTAGCTGCAGTAATTTTTTATGACCTTTGCTTTCCAGAGGGCCCCGCTGAATCTCTGAGCCTTCAGCATTGCCCTCCTTACTTTCTTTGTCACTGAGGTGTTCCCTGCTATTTGACTGACACATTGAACTCTCCACTGGATTTTGGTCACAGAACAAGCCTAGGGGACTCTTGGAATCCTGACTACTGACTTTACTTGGTTGGGTCATATTCATGTTGGGAGAGTTGTCCAATTTGGGGCTGGGTGAAGACAGAGTAGATAAAAGAGAAGTCCCCACCCCCTCACTAATAGCTTGAAGAGCACTAAGAGAGCTACTAGAAAAGCTATGGCTTCCAGTGTTGCCAGAAGATCCCATGGGAGAGTGCACACCTGGATTTAAAGAAAAATTAGAAAAACAATTAAACTAACAGACATTGCATGAAAACACCACTTAACTCTTCAAGCTTTTATTATGAAATGAATTCACTTTTCAAGAATTAAATCAGTATGAAAAGAATTACTGAGAAAGGAAAAGTCAACACAAATACCTGCAACAGGAGAGAACTGATGTGAGGCCATCTTTGGACTCCCACGATTACGAGGAGAAATCATGATATTCTGCTGGGTCGAGCCAAGACCAGGACTCCCATGGGGAGGGCTGCTCATGTTGAGACCATAGCTGTTGCTCTGGTAGGAAGACGGTGACTGCATGCCGGGCCCGGGGTTCACTGCAGGCATGCTGCCGGCAGCCCCGTACCTGGCCCCACTCATCTGCCCTGGGGTATTGGAGTCAGTCAGACTGTAAGTCCTGTTGTTGAGCATCTGTAACCCTTGGCTTGGCGACATGCTCACTCCACCTACAGAACTGTTGCACCCAGGTGCTGGAGGCCTAATGCCTTGTCCAACAGGATTTGGGTTTGGTCTGTATCCATTCTGTTCCCTACAAAAATAAAGGATTAGTGGGGGTTGACATTAAAAGTACTAGAAAACTTCAGGCACATGAGTTAAAACTGTGAATCAGATTTCCTTTAAAGGGTAAAATGTATAGAAACTTAATGTCAGGTGCCATTCACAGACCTAATGACAATTTTAATGGCGATCCTAATTACTAACCTAGTGACAGTCTTTAATTAGAGTCGCAGAATCTAAATGAGCGACAGCACCACTGCATGGTGCAGGACTCTCACTGGGGCTTCACTAGAGCATCTGTGGTTAAGCTGGAGATGCCTGAAAATCTCTCAAGATAAGCAGTGGGTAAATATTCCCCTCCTTCACATGCTGCTCACATACCATACAGCAATACCTCTACCCTTAAAGTGTATCTGCAAACGCTGTTCCTTCAATCCTTAAAAGCAACGTAATCTACTACTAGAAATGAAAGGTATCCAAAGTAACTCGTCTTTGTGTACCTTTGCTCCACTAGATTTCCCTCCCCCCTACTTGCTTAGGAAGCCATCACTCAATAAATATTCATTTTCCCATAAAAACATAATCTTAAAGAAAACCTATGATCCAAGAATCTAAACTCACTTCAGCAAATCCAACAACCTTCCTCCTTTTTCTCTCATTAAATTTTCGCCCTTTTCACATTAACACTAAATTGTCTTGAGAAGATTTCTGTGTTTAGTAGAAGAATATCTAGTAATCATTACCGCTGAAGAAAATGAGTAGAGACAAAGCCATGACGATCATTTGTTACAGGATTTCGAAAGATTTTGCTTTTTGTTTGCGCGGTCACAATAGTGCCATCAGCCAGAGAGAATCGATATACTGGGGTTTCTGCATGACCGTGGATATAGGCTGTTGGAAGAAAGTATTCCATTACTAGTAAATGACAGACTGGACCTGCACCAAAATTATGAACAGAATCACTTTCCTAGCCCCCCACACAGGCAGGTACATACCCAGGGGTTTACAGCAAGACAATCAAGTGGCTGACAAGAATCAACCACAGAGCACTTTACCTTCTTGATAGTGACGTTTCTGGGACCAAGACTGCCCATCATTAAGACTGAAAAATCTCTGGATACACCTTCGAATTATATCTTCAAAGCCAGGTCTCATCGAGGATCTCAGTGAATTTGTATCTATAGTGACAACTTTTCCTATAAAAAAGAGAAAAAACAACCACAAATATTTACTGGTTACACACTACATGGCATAACAGTAAAGAATAAAGACACTAAGTCATTGTTCCACCTCCTCTGGTACAGCAAATTTCTGCTATAACTAGAGCTTTTCTCTTTAAGGACTAAGCTCTGCAGATGCTTTTACACCCACACATACTGCTGTATAGACTTTAAGAGTGCATCACACAACTACTTTTTGCCTGTACAAAAATACAACCTGTCAAAATGATCTCAGGTTTTCATTTGAAGAAAAAAAAAACAGTATCTATGGTGAAAACTGTCCCAGTGTTGTCTGTCCCTGCAACTATAAAGCAAGACACACACAGAGTCTTACCTGAAAGGTCATGTCTGGTAATAAAGCTCTCAGGGTTGGATGGAAAGGCTCTTTCTCCTGTAGTGATGCGGCGCGCCACACATATCATACAGGATTGCAAATCTACAACAAAATATTTAACCAAGAAAGGACTGTATTTATTTAACTTTGGGTTATAGCTGTTCAACAGGAGAGTAAAGACATGGAATTCAGTGGGAAGAATTACAAGTAATGGAAATTACCAGTTTGACTGTTACATACTCGAACATCACAAACATGATCACCATTACCTTCCCCCTCCTCCATCATAGCGCGTGGCTGGGACAGGGCAAAGCACTGCATTGTTTCGTATCTCTGGCGCATTTCAGGACTAGTGTTTATGTCTTCCAAAATATCATGTGGTGTTTTCATCAGCATGCGGCAATTAAATGTATGGCTTTTTTGTCTCTGGGTCTCATTTGTCCAGGCAACTCCATTAACTTTAAAGAACAAATTGAAAGGGGTTTTGAAAAAGCTAGCAATTCCAGACATAATCCAAGCTTTATATTCTTGTTACATGTTCTTTACAGTAATATTTACACTATTAGATACTACTATACTATAGAAAGGCAACATATACAATGTGAGAATTTTAATTTCAACAGAAATCTCACCGTATACTTTGTAACTCATTATATTTTTTGGCTCCATGAAATGTACACCAAATTCTAAATTCACCAAGGTCATATTTTAAAATCTGGCTATTAACCACCAGCTTTCTATACCAGTTTGATTACATGGATATCTAAAAGGTACATTTAAGTTTCTAAGAAGAATTTTTTAAGGAAAAAATACTTTAGTCTAAAAATATGTTTTGAATTATTTAGAAAATATGTATTAAAGGCCTACCTGTAGATTTCGGTAAGTTTTTAAGAAAATCCTTTCTGTCCTCCTCATGCAAGATATTGTAGACACTTGTGTTAACCAGATCCTCTTGCTTATACTGCAGGTATTGTGTGACATTTTCTGACACAAATACAATATTTCCATCGCGATTCACCACAAACAGAAAACCATCCAGTGCCTAAATGGGACATATTGGTACTGGCTGTTATGACTGAACTATATCTCCCAATGTGACTATATCTAGAGACCAGGGTCTTTGTGACATTATCAAAGATTACATTACATGTGGTCAAAGGATATGGTTCTAATGCAAAAATGACCAGTGTCCTTGTAAAAAGAGAACACTTTTTCTGCTGCTGCCAGTTGACCAAAACTGGGGTAGCAGAAAGATTCTGATCCTTTTTAACTGCCAAGGCTGAGGAGTAGAATGCTTGCTACTGGGAGTGTTTAAGGGACTGTAATACTACTTTACAGTAAGTGCTAAATACCATTCTCATTCAGAATGACCTAACTAGTGGAATTCAAAAAGCTTCCAAAGGCTCACATAAGCACCAAAGCCCTTTTTTGGTGTTTGGCTCTAAATGTGAGGGGCTTGTGTATGTTAAGTTGGTGGAGACACTCTGTGTTGAGAACCAAATCAACCTAATTAAAGTTGATGACAACAAAATGTAGAGGGCTAGATAAAGCTCTGTGAAAGAGATAAAGGAGCCCACAAAGCAGTTGGTTGCAGCTGTGTAGCAGTTAAAAAAAAACTATTCAAAGACTCTCAGGCCAAGGAGGTCATCGAGGAGCACTTTGATGCAAAACCTGAACATGTAAGAAAATCTGGCTATTGTTAAAATTTTTAAAAAAAAAAAATTTGACATGAGGATACAGAAAGGCACAATCATGCAAAGATATGACCAGAAGGCAGCCAACTGGGGTCAGGAATAAAGAAACCAATCCTGCTGACACCGAAACCCTGATACTGAATTTTCACGTCTTTACTTCTTCCCATTTTTCCATTTGATGCTAAGACAAACTATTAAGTAGCACGCTACTCCCTGATAAGAATTTACAAATGGGAAGTAAAATGATCTGAAAGTAATTAAAACAAGACAGTTGAAACCATAAAAAGCTGACGACTGAACTTCATGAAGGACAAGGGCCCTCTGAGTTATATATTCATACTACTGAGTTCTGTCTCATAAAAAGAAACGCTTTTTTGCTCCCAATTCCCCTACCAAAATTTTTTTTTTTTAAATCAACACAATCGTCTAGTTAACATGTTATACTTGCCTGAAGTAAAAGTGGTCCTAAGGAGTCTTTATCAATAACTCCCTGTCCTGTAGAAGACACATCAGCTTTCTGAACATCATCATCATTTGAAATAGTTTTTCCTGAAAAGACAGAAGGTAGCATGACAAACAGCACATTACTGGTTATACATTAAATCCACAGATCAGACATACACAGGCCATTTACTGGTAAGAAAATGTTGCTACAATTTTGAGTTAAACGTGAGAATTAGCTGAGAGGACAGAAGATGCCCTCAATTATCTTTGACTATTATGTGTACTATCTTATGGCTTCTTTCCTTGAAAGACAAGGAGCATGTGAGGGGTGAGCCACACTTCCAATTCTGTCAGTTGTTTCCTAAAGAGTAAAGCTGGTCGACTCATCTGTCCATTCCCTACATAGGCTAGGCTCAACTAGCAGTAGTCCCCACCTAAAGAAAAGAAAACACAAACAAACACAGTTAACAAGTTCCTTCTGATAGGCTTACTTTGTTATTACCTTGTTCTTTTATTTGACGTATCTGTCTTACTGTTTCCTTTAAAATTGCACATTTATCTGGTTTGACATTGAAATTGTCAATATCACTAAAATTAGCAGATATCAGTTCAGCCAATTCTTCAATATATTTACTCTCCTGCTCCCGTCTCCATTTTTCACCACTGCAGGTAAGACTAGGAAGAGGAGAAAAGCTATGAGTAAATATTACCAGTCCCAAAAGAGCTGCATCACTACATGTGATTATCATCTTTATATGTAAACAAACTAAACTCAGTTAATAAAAAACTATGAACACATTGTCTTGGAGAAGTAGTACTATAAAGAAATGTACTGCAAGTCTAAATTTAAATATTCGCTAGCAGGCGGTCCTGGACAAATATACTCTCAATTTTTTCCTCTGGAAAATGGGGATAAAATAGTCTTTACTGAATGAAGACAGTAAAGCTAACAAAATTAGTATTAGTAACTACTAATGATGAGGTTTTATGAACTATAGATATGTTCCTATTTTGTATTATTATATTAAAATTTAAATAACTGTTCTTAACAAATACTAAAAAGGCTACAGATACAATATTTTCTTCCTATTTTTTAAACCTCTAACTTTATTCAGGAAAAGAATGATGAAGCCTTGCACATGTTAATTTGCCATCTTATAACATGTGCTTAGCAGAAGTCAAAGATTCTCACTTGTAATAGCCTTTGTTACCTATTCCTAGCTCCTACTTTGTCTTTTAAGAAATGCTTCTTACAACATCACAGGCTTGGTGTAATGTTCTTGTTTCTAACTGAGATCAGCATAAGGATGTCCATATCATCGCTGTGTCACTCTACTTCCTACCAAGCAAAATCACATTTGAACAAAGTCAAGAACAAAAAAGCCAGAGAACATAAGTAATGACATTGAAATGTTACTTTTAAAACCAAGAAACAAAGACTGAGGTAAGAGCCTCGGTGAAGCATCAGAAAACAAATCACTTACCCCTGTCCTGGATTATCACATGGCAATTTGCGTTTTCGTGAATCAGGGGCTAGTGGATCCAAGGAGTTTTCTCCTAACCCACTCATCTTGAAAATACATCAGCAACTAAGAAAGAATATTAAGGTAAAAGTATTATAAGGTTGCCAAGAAGTCATACAGGTTTGTGTTTGAAAGACTGTTTCCCTAAATGCATAGGGAATTCTCAATATTCTTTATCATAAATAAGTATTCTACAGACAACTTCAGTATTCATATTCCAGTTTAATTATGCTGACTGTCCAACTCAAGACAAAAATATCTCTCAAATTATACTAAAAGTGTGCATGTTGGAATGTACACAGAACAGGGCGTTTTCTTCATGTTTATTAATAAGAAAAAAGAAATCTCCAATTCTCCCACTTGTGAAATGCTAAATTTTATTTATACCCAAGTAAGCAGAAATAAAAGTGGTAATTTGGGAAGGAGTCTTCAAATAATAAAAGTCTAAATTATTCAGACTATTTTCAAGGTGACATTTTTTTCTTTTGGACTCTTTCATTAATATTTATCATCCAATGTGTTTTTCTTTTGTTAGTTCAAAATAAATCTCAATGTGTAAATAAAATTATAAACCCCACTGCATTTCAGGTTGAAAGCAGACATTCAACAATAAAACTCTAATGGGGGGAGGGGTGGGGGGGAGAGAAAGGGGAGTTAGGGCTTTGACAATATCTACACATCAACAATCCCTTTAATACTAACTGAATATAAAACATGTTTTGGATAAAGTATCACTGACGAAATAAATGGATAAATGGAGAGTATTTCTTGTTGAAAAAAGTAGATTTCAATCAGCAGCTTACAATTTTAAGATATGTTTTAAATCTTCATTTCATTAAAATTTTATTTTTTTTCTAAGCTCTTATTTAGGACAAGACAATGAGCTAAAGAATTCCAAGTCAACCAAGAAATTAAAACATTTCAAAGTATTAATTTTACCATGTTATCGATAAAATGCAGCTTGTATTCTATTATACTCTATGAAACATATTTGAGGAATAAATTTCCACTAGGTGGCACAACACTGCCAGGAAGGCAGACAGATAAATAAAAATGCAGAATCCATACAAAATACTGATCAAATTGAAAATATTTAGTTTTTTAAAAAATAGAATCAGAGCCTCCCTGGGAGTATAATGGGTAACTGGCAGCCAGTGCAGCACTAGTTCAGTCCCCAACCTGGGAGGTGACCCACAGGTGCAGCAGACCTCTCCTGTCTCTCCTACTGCTCCCCTCATCTGTGTATTTCAGTCAGTCTGTCTATTCTTCTCCTGACTCTGTTTAGGTGAATCCTCTCACCCACCCCACACCTCTGGCCTACACACCAGCTCTTGTATGCATAAATATACTTTTAAAAAATTCAGAGTCACATGATAACTGATCAGTTCTAGATTATGGCGTCTAAATTAAGACACCAAGATGTGTAGATGTGAATTATATGCCAATAAAATTCACACTATTACAATTCTGAGAGTGAAATGAAAAGGTTTTTTAAAAGCTAAGACGTTATAAGACTTAGCTAGTTTTTTTATTTCAAGATGTAAGTTAAAAGAAAATTATTTTAAATAACTGATTTAAAGGCTGCAATATGATTTTAAAGCATACTCAGATTTCATAAACTCTGGAATATTGACTGTACTCCTCAAAAATGACAATGCCATATCATAAAAGTAAAATTTGTAAATATCCTGCAGTAAAGGAAGCTTAAGATAGATGACAACGAAACACAACATCTGATCTATCCTGTTCTGAAGGATAGAAATGCTATGAGGAACATAATTGAATCCACTGACAAAATTAGAATATGGATAAATATAAACAAATATACAGGTGTTAAACTTACTCAAGGTAGTTTCTGAACTGTGCTTATCTAAGAAATCACGCTTATTCTTAATAATTAGAACAAAAGCATCCTTACGTATGCAAATACCTGATAGTTGAGGGGAGGCAGGGAATTGAGAGTGAGTGAGCCTGGGGGGTGACAATGACATGGAATCAAATGTTGACACTACTGGGGGGGAGGGGAATTTCTTTTCAATTTTCTTTCTTGAGACTCAACTTTAAGTCAAATTATTTCCAGGTAAAGTGTTAAAAGTACATTCGCTTTCTTTTTTCCATCAACTTTCGTACTTAAAAATACCGCCCAGCAAAATACCAAAGGCATTCTTCACAAAAGTCGAAGAAACAACCCTAAAATTTATGTGAAACCACAAAGGACCCCAATAACCAAAGACACTGAGAAAAAAAGAATAAAGTTGGAAGGATCACACTTCCTATCAAAGTAATAATAAAAGCATAGTAATAAAAAAAAAGTTCAGCACTAGCACAAAAACAGATACATTCACTATACAACATGAGAGGCTATCCAAAAATAAATACCAGCATACATAGTGAATAATATTCAACACAACATAGCTCACCCAACAGAGAAAGGATAGTCTCTTCAACAAATGGTGCTAGGAAAAAAGGAGAAACAGACAGAAATATGAAAGTGAACCCCTATTTCACGCAGCTCACAAAAATCAACTCAAAATGGATCAAAGACATAATTCAAATATGACATAACAGTATAAACTCCTAGAAGAAAATCTAAGGGTGAAACTCATTAATAATGATGTTTGGATATAATGACCTAAGTACAAACAACAAAACCAAAATTCAATAAATGGGACTACATCAATTCAAAAGTTCTATACAGCAAAAAAAATTAACAAAACAAAAAGTAGTGGAAGAAAAAGTTCATAACCCATACATCAGAAAAGTGGTTAATATCCAAGCTATATTTTGTAAGTTACGTAACTTCACACACACAAAAAAATCCAAATTAAAAATGCTCATACATTGGGGGGGGGGGGGAGATAAAATTCAAAGTAACTATTCCTGCCCTGTCCTAAAATGAAAAACAAATTTAATGTAATTTCAGCAATATTTTTCAAAGAAATTGAACCAAAACACTGCAATACATATGAAGCCACAAACAGCAAAAGCAACTTTAAGGAAAAAGGAGATCAACAGCAGTATCATATATATGGACCTCAAGCTTTACTATAAAGTGAGAGTACTGAAAACAATACAAAATTGGAACTAAAAAAGAAAAAAAGATACAAGGCTCAATGGAATAAAATGGAAAGTCCAGAAATAAACCCAGGCACATACCAACCCCTAAACTATGCTAAAACATCGATAACCATCAAGGTAGGAAAAAAAAAGTCTAGGGCCCTCCCTGGTGACACAGCAGGTGAAAGCACAGCACCAAGAAGCTAAAGCCACTTCAGAATGAGTTCGATCCCTGCCCCGGAGGTGACCACATGGCGCAGCAGACCTCTCCTGACCCGCCCGCTGCTCCCCTCAGCAGTGTACTTTGTCGATCTGCCTGTTCTGCTCCCCACTCTTGTCTCTGGTGAATCCTCTCACTGCCCCTGCATCTCTGGCCTGTACCCCAGTTCTGTATGCACAAATAAATAAATAAATCTTTTTTTAAAAAAAGTCTATTCAATAAGTGTGGGAAACTGGAAAGTCAAACATAGAAGAAACTAAATTATTTACTAACACCATACACAAAAATAAATTTGAAATGGATTAAAGATTTAGATATAAGACCTACAACAATAACATGAATAGATAGCAATTTTACGATAATACCATCAATAAAGATTTTTGTTGGTGATACAACCTCCATGGCAAGGTACTTAAAAAATATACAATTGGGATTACCTCAGGTTAAAAACTTCTATAAAACAGTCTACTTAATGGGAAAAAAAAATTTATGCAATATAAACACTACATAGAAGGATTAATGTCTAAGATATATAAAAACCAGGGAACACACAATCATGTAACAAATAGGTAAGGCCCCTGGTGGTGCAAAGGGTTAGGACGCAGCACTGCAAGCGGGC